GCGTTCGAAGCATGAGGGCATGCACGTGTTCCAGAACCCGCCGCTGACGGATCTCGTCCTCATTCCGCCGCGCGATGGCCTCGGCGTCATCAACCCTCTGTTGGAGAAGAAGCAGCTTGGCCTGGGAAGAGGCTAGCTCCGCCTGCGCTATGCCAAGGGCGGCTGCGGATGAGTCCGCACGCCGCGTCACTTCAGCCAGTCTGGCCCTGAGGGCCGCAGTCCTACCCTCAGCCTCGGCCCTGAGCAGCCCCAACCTCGCTTCGCATTCGCGCTCGAAGGCTGAGCGAGCTTCCGCCACGCGGCGGTCGACCTCTTCCTGGGCTCGGACTTCGCGCGCAGCAACGTCATCCTCCGCCTGAGCCACCAGGTGCTCCCTCGTCTCCAACCGCTCAAGGTCAAGGTTGCGCTCGGCGGCCTCCAGCGTCAGCGCCTCCTCGCGCTTCAGCAGCTCCGCCCGGTCGACGGAGGCCCCCTTCAGCGACTCAAGGGCCGCCTGGCGCAGTTCCACTTGCTGCTCCAGGGAGTTGCTCCAGGCTTGGAGCTCCCATGCGCGCTCCTCCGCATCTCTGCACCGACGGTCTGCTTCCCGAGCATCCTCGACGGCCTGGGAGTAGGCCTCCCGCGAAGCCACCAGCGACGCTTCAGCCTTCGCGTTCTCAAGATCACGTTGGTGACGCACGAGGGCGACGGCTACCTTCAGTTTGCGCCTCTCCTCAGCAAGGGGCAAACCTTCGGCCTCGAGGCGCGCATCCTCGCCAGCAAGCTCTGCCCCGATCCGGCTCACCGCATCCGCCGCCCCCTGGAGGAACTCTTGGCGAAGGGCGCGACGCTCCCGAGCGCGCCTGAGCACGTCTTCCGCATCACCCTCTTCCACCAAAGTATGCGGAGGGCCCCGAGGCGGCATGCCCCCTCCCGGCGCGGGGCTGGGGGCTGGCGCCCTAGCCATCGCCGAATGGACCCCTCTGGAAATCCAGCCTAGCGTCGGTCCACCCACGGAGGAGGAGCTGAAGGCAGACTTCAACCATTCACCCTCTATGATCAGAGGAGGAACGCGGGGCAAGCCAGATGTGCCCTAGGAGGATTCATGAAGAAAGGACAGCGGGCGCGTAGGCTCAAGGTGCCCGGTGGAACGGACCACTCCACCGATCGGTCCAGCGGCGGGGGTGCCGCTCGAGCTCGGCGCGCCCAGAGCCAGCGGAGAAGGCGAAGCTTTGGGGGCTGGCTCCCGGGCCGACTCGGCGAATTTGGCAGGATGGGGCCTGAAAGGCCACAATCAGCCGCAGGGATAGTAAAGTAATGAGCAGAGAAAGAAGAGGACTTACTCGTCCATGGCGAAGTACTTCCTGCGCTTCAACAAGCGGCAAGGGCGGTCGTCGCCACCCAAGGCCTCCTTCCGCTTGCGGAGGGCCTCGAAATCTACACGAAACCGACCTAAGCGCCCGACGCGGGGGTCAGCCTGGGGCGTGGAAGAAGCGTCAAGATGATCGGCGCCGAAGGAGCCGGCCTGGGGGACGCCATCAGGCGTCGCCTCGCGAGGAACGGCCGGGGCCTCGGGAGCCCCGGCCTCAAGAGCCGAGGGCCGCAACTCCGCGCCAGCTGCCGCTCCAGGGCGGGCCTCGGGAGGCGCCGCCTTCAGGGCTTCTCGCGGCATCGGCGCCTCGACATCAGTCGCCTCAGCTCCCGCGGCTGGGTTCTCGCGGGGCCCCGTGAAGCCAGCCGGGCACAGCCCCCGCTTGTCGAAGCTGGGCATCTGCCTCACAAAATCGGCCCTGCCAGAGCAAAGATACAAAAGGGCACCATCACGCCGAAGGCTGCTTGGGGAAGGATCGCCAGTCAAGACCCTTAGTACCGTCCGCAGCACTTCAGGCGCCAAGTCCTCCTCCTGAAGTCGCATGCAGTCTCTGTGCCCCGCAAAGTCCCACATCCGACAAGAGTGGCGCTGGAGAGGAGCAATGCGGCATTGGAGGAACTCCTTCACCACCTTGGGTGCAGTCACATTGAGCGCCCTCAAACTCTGGAAGCGGCACCAGACGAAGGCGAGCCGAGGGCTCGCCTTCGTCTCATGGTCCCAGCCCGAGTGGGGAACAGCAGGCGAGGTCGGGTGCGAGAGCAGAGGGTTGGGCACTCCGACGTCCACATACAGCCACCGCTCTCTGAACCTGGCCTCAGAAGGAGGAAGGCCGAAGTCGATCCCTGAAGCGGCCGTCTCTGGCACGGCAAAGAAGCCCACACACCCTGAGCACTGAGTGGGGTCGCTCAAGCGCAAAGAAAAGAAGTGGCGCGGCAGGGCAACGGAAGGAGGAATGCCTCGCAAACAAAAGCAAAGACAGCCAGAAGGGTAATGGACTCAGGCCCGAGGTGCATCATGCAGATCTGATAATGGGAGAGCACCGCATTGAAGAAAGTGGAAAAGGGGGAACCAGACCCGTCCACAGGGCATCGACGAAGAATCGGACCTCCGTGACGATCCTATCAAGGGAGGTATGGGACGCAGGCCAGACTGTGGTCCTGCCGCACTCGTTGAAGATAGTGGCAAGGGCAGAGCGGACCTTGTTCAAGGCTTCTGGATTGAGTATGATCGACCGATCAACGGCGGGGGCCGTCACCGGAGGTGAGCGAGGCGAAGGCGCGGGCTTCTTCCCCTTTCCTTTCTTTGTTGGCGCCATGGCGATGGAAAAAGGGAAGAGCTCGAGCCGGATTGGCGGCGGAGGTTGGAGCTCGAAGAAGAAGGAAAGGTAGGAGGCAAGCGAGCAGCGGAAAGGGGAACAACTGTGTGCAACTACGGGTCCGCTTAGCCGGGCGCGTAACAAGGCGTCGTGGGGAAGCGCAGACGCCCGCGTCCAACCAATCGACATGCGGCGCCCAAGGCCGCAGGCTATTGGGGCCCGCGGCGCTTCGCGCTTGCCCCTTCGCTTCTCTGCTAAGCCAAGCCCGGGCGCGCCTTGGGCCCGAGGGCTACTGTCAGCGTTCTGGGAACAGGGTTCCCCAGACTTGCCTGCCTGCGGCCTGCGGCGTGGCTCGAGTAGGGGGCCAGTGCGGGCCAGTGCGGCCCAGCTTCATCAGCTCAATCTCAAGACCCTCACAAGGGGCCAAGCCTTGCGGGGCGGACGACAGGAGGCTTCCTCAGGAGCAGCCTCATCAGGCAGGCTCGCGAGGAGGCGTAGAGATCAAGGCAGGGGCACCTCGCAAGGAGCCCGTGACGCAAGCCATGACGATCGAGATCAGGCGGGTGCCAGGCGGGCGCCGGCCTGCGCAGTGTCCTTGTTTCCCCTTCGGTGCAAAGGGAACAAGCACAGTCCAAGGCATCGGGCAAAGGTTACTATTCCGATGCAACAAGACCAAGACCAGCAGAGCGGCAGGACGAAGGTCACCGTGGAGCCCAAGACGGTGTCATCACCAGTGCTTTTAGCAGCTGAAGACCACCTTTGGTCAGGATAACTTGTACTAGATGTTCCCCTTCAAAATGGCTAATTATTGGCGCCCTTCCCGCTCATTATTTGGGAAGAGGACCAGGACCTCTATAAATAGGACTAGCCACCGAAGAGAAAGAAGAGGGAAAGAAAGAGAAAGAAAGAGAGAAGAGAAAGAGAGAGAGATCCGGACCAAGTAGAACACACTGCACCAACTCAAGAACACCTCTCGTGAGGCCGTTCTTCCCTCTGTATTGTTCATCATCAGCCCCTGAGGCAATCCACCACACCACACATTGGAGTAGGGTATTACACCACATCGGTGGCCCGAACCAGTATAAACCTCGTGCCCTTTGTGTGTTCTTCTTTCCAGCCTAGATTTCTTGCGAGCCATAGAAGCGCGAGTCGATAGGGAAAGGATCTCCGTGCGCACCCCAGAGTTCGAACCTTAAGGGTTTGCCGGAACCCGAAATCCGACAATACCAGCGCCGCCGCTCCCCCTCGCCCCTCCGTCGTCGGGAGGGCGACCGCTCTCCGGCCCGCGCTTCTATGGCTCTAGTTCCTAAACCGGTTGGTATGTGTACTATTTCCTGATGTTGGTATGTGTACGGAATAATTTCTGAGGGTGTGCAGTAACCGGTTTCAGAGTTCAGGGTTGAGTCTTAAACAAAGCAGTAACTTGAGGGTTAAAAGGTGGACTTCTCTCTTCTAAATATAGCTTGTTCTAACCAGAGGTGGCTCTGACAGGGCCTACACATAGCAACATAGGAGGGGCAGCCACAGCATGTGTGTTGCTCACAGGTGGAGAGGCGTGGTGGTGCAGAGACATGCAGGACACAGGTGGTGGCGGTGGAGGAGGCATGGGGAGGTTGTCACAAAAAATAAAAAACCTAGGTGGCAAGGTGGGTGTGTGGAAAGGCTCCAGCCAAAGTTCCACAAGTAGTGGTGGAATGGGTGTGGGCTCGGTGTTAAGTGCGGGGCTCAGAACAGAGCACTATGTACTGCATTGTATACAGCTGCAAACTCCTGTCAGTTTTGAATCTGTACTGCTCTTTATATGAATTTTAGGGTTACACATTTTGCCAAGAAAGAGCATAACTGCCACCTACCGTGGGGATGGCCTTGGGACCATGTGGATTATTGTGGCGACCAAATAGCATGATGCAGCACAGTGAGTCGCAGTGCATCGACAGTATTGATTTATACTAGTGCAAATCCTGCTCCTCATCTTTACTATTAAGCAGAAGTTCTTAGCTGTATTTAATCTCACTTATGAGGTGGAGGATCAGCATATGTGGACACCATCTTCTTCGGGAGACCTAACGACCAAATCAGCGTATCGTCATTTCTAGTTACACTAGTACAAAGAGCTCAAAATCCGTACAAACTAGATGATGCATCATAGAGTAATTTCTGTACTGAAGCTGCTGGTACAGCAGACTGTTCAAGCATACACAATAAAAATTCATGTTTTATTTTTTTAGATAATTCCAAATGTTCTGAAACAACGCAGTATGATGATAACAAAAATCAAGTTATAATGGAGCAAGCATAAGAAACTTATTGAATTTAAGGACTGAGAAAACTTACAGTGGAGCATCATCGTCATGTCTTATCCAAAGAACCACTTTACACACAACAGCAACTGTCTTGTTCAAACCTCCTGATAGGATGCTTATGGTTGCTTTCTTGTGGAATAACTTGACTATGATGGCATAGAGGGAGAAGTTAAACAACAGTAGAACAATTTTAACACAGTATACAACTTCAATGTTTGCAGTGCCAAAAAGAGTATTACAATTGACTTCATTCAGAGATGACACCAATGATGCTGATCTCTTGGGTCGTAGTCGTCCCTGTGAAAGAAGTCATAGGTAGAAACTTTTGCACCAACAGACAAAAAATAGTTTTGAAAACCACAATAATGGTGTGCTTTAAGTCATTGCATTAGCATCGGAAATAGTTGGGCGAATAAAATTTGAATCGTGGAAAGCATGTGTGCCACTTAGGGCTGTTAATGGTTTGGGCTCAAACCATGAACCAAACCCAGACTAAACTTCCTTCGCAGTTTTCTAGGACCAAGGTCAAGGTCGTGTCAGAACCACTGAACCCATCTCTATCCAGGTGATCAGCCTGCTAATCAGTGGCACCACGGACCTTGTCCACCACGACAGCGGCAGCTACCAATCTCCTCCACCACAGCCTCAAGGGATGATTCCTTAGACTGGTGACTTTGCCATTGCTGCAGTTGCCACTGTAAGATCTTGTTCCATTGTCGCATTCGCCACGGTGAACGCAAAGATGTGTTGCTAACACTTAAAAGGTATGAGTTATGGGCAAGCTGAAACTATAAACCTGACAAGAGCACTCTCACACTAAAACTGAGCATGGAATTGATGTTGTAACAAATGTTATCGTATCATTTCATCTAGGTTGTACTGAATCCCATGAAAAAATTTAACTTCTACATACATGCATAACCATTAAGTAGCATCACACGATCGAGACTAAAGCTCAAATGAGACCAATGAGACAATTCTGTTAGTTCATGTCCAGTGCTGCAGTTTGCAAGTGCACTTACTATAGTTACAGAAGGTACCTTCGTTGCATTCTCTAACTTATCAAGGAGATTGATGATCTTCTGAACTTCTATGTCAGCCCTGAGAGCAGGATCTTTTAACGCAGCAGCTTCAAATCCGCGAAGGGCACTTTCATAGTTCTCTAAGTATTTGTAAGCCTGGAAGGAACCAAAAATATTATGGAAATGGAAAGTATTGGTGGAATTTTTAGCTGACTCTGCTACCCATTAAAGATCTGGCTACTCACTGTGGCACAATTATAGTAGAGGTCTGGATTTAGTTTCATAGTTTCATCCTTCTCCTGAAACAATTTATTGAAACAACATAATACATGCTTTACATTTTGAAAGAATGGAAATCGATATAAAAAAATCCATCTCATAATTTAAGAAATTACAATTTGCAAACTAATAAGATGCGCAGAAGTATGACATGCACAACTTACAGCATTTTGATATGCTTTGATCGAATGATGAAGCCTAGCTTTGTCCCAGGCTCCGCTCGCAAAGAAGCTTGTGAGGTATGCATTACCCAGATTATCTATATACAGGAAAAGGCAAGTGAACGGTTGTTGAAATGGTAACCTTGCTGAAAAAACTGAAATTACATCTCAGAATAGTCAGTAGAAGTTGTTTCAGCAAGACAATCATTGGTCATTACATAATGCTAGCCTAAACAAGCGGAGGAAAAAACAGATTTAATGTACTCATAAAGCAAAAGAATAATTTATCTTTTGTTTCTTTCGATACTACTAGTGACCCTGCCTTGTTAGCTCCCTTTTTCTCGAACGACCTGTTAGCTGTTTTCATATATATAACTTCTAGTAATGCCAGGAACAGAAACCTTTCGCATTTAAATGTGGGCTGAGTACCACTTCGGCTGCGTTTGTCATTGCAGTTAGTTGAAACTATCTTTTGTTTAGAAAGAATTATTTCAGCACAATATAGTTCAGCAACCACAAACTAAGCCATCATCTAGAAGTGGCGCCTAACTTAAAGAAACTATTCATATGGAATATTCACATATGGCATAATTTGTCCGAGGAGAGATGATTGAGAGAAGGAATATTAGTATTAGCATTGGGGGGTGTTAAGGAGTATTAGTATTGGTCTATTGAGTCTGTATTAGTCCCTTGTCCTTCATGTCTTGTGTAATATATTATACATTATGCCCCTTGGGCTATGCATAGAGATAAGTTGCATCCATAACAACCCCTACTACTTCCACAGCCAAAGCACCTTCCACTTCTGCTTCTCGGTAGTGGTGCATAATTCTCCTTTACCAGTGCTGCTCTTGCACAGAAAATCAAGGAGTAGCTACCCTTCCTTCCCGCCGAGAAGGTCTCAAGGGTTGTGGTGTCGGGCAAGTTTCACTCTGCGAGCACTCAAGTCAAACCTCTTGCCAAGGACGTGAAAGCCATCAAGGCACGGATAGAGTATGATGAAGCTGCCATGCGATCTAGCGATGATCATGAGCATGATGACATCATGACAGTGACCTGCACCTAGAGTTTGTTGGTGACCACCACCTCCTTTGGCAACCGGATTTTCTTCGGTGACTATTCACCTCTAGTTCAAAAAGATCCCCCGTCAGCCACCACTACCGAGATCAAAGCCATGACCTTCCTCCGAACTCCTTCCACGATCATCAACAACGAGACTGCCGTAAGGGCATCTTCGCCTCCGGATGTTGATCAAGCTTAGTCTAGTGGGATGATAGTCCTCTCACTTTTTGGTGTCTTGATGCCAAAGGGGGAGAGGGTGTAATTCTAGACTAGTTTCGTGCTTTTTGGGAAAGAGCTTTCCAAGGGGGGCAGTTGTTTAGGAGTTGGTATTGTTGAGTGACCAGTCTTGCTACTTTAACTGATTCTTATGACTTGTAAACTCTTAAGTTCCATGTTATGACGTTGTAAGCAACTTTGCACTTGCGCTTTATGCTTATGCTTTAGTGCATCTTTTGAGGTCATTAACAAGTGTTTTATCCCATGTTTGTTGCGTGGTAGAGAGCATATTTACATTCTTGTACACACTATGTATTCTCACGGATTCTATAGTATAGAGAGTTTCTCACATTCTCAAAAGATTGTTGTGCATTTGCATTTCAAAAGCAAATTCTAAATAATGCACAATTTTGGGGGGAGCTCCCATATATCATATATATGTAATTATAACTTTGTACACTTGTTGCATATCTTTCGCGAAACTTTAATAAATGTCGTCATCAATGACCAAAAACAGGGAGACTGAAACTGCATCTATTGCCACCTAGGGGGTTTTGCATTATATGACAACATGATTAAAGGGACTAATGGTTGGTGACCCCCACTTCTTCAAGGACAAGTGTTAGCAAGGCTAAGGACAAATTTTTAGTTGTTAGTGATCCAAGATCACATTGAGTCCATAGGTATGTCTATACCATCAAAAGGGAATCAAGTATGTGTAGTGATGAGCTTCTTGCTATGTGCTTAAAGATCGAAACCCAAAATCACCCAAAAACCTCAACCATTTCCCTAATATTCTCGCTCTCTTTACACTGTTAGGAGCCACCAAGCCAGATTCATTCAGAGAGATAGTCGTTCCAAAACCCTTGCCCATCAGGAGCCTACATGACAACTCCACTCAAAGCCACCAAAGCACTCGTGCAAGCCTCTGTACATCGGTCTGAACCTATGAACCATCGCCGATCGGAAATTCCGAATGAGGTCCAGTAGCGCGCGCAGGTGTGTCAATGCCAGTTGAAGCCTCTGGATACTTTCTACTCAGACACTCCGAGCTATACAAAAGTTGCCTCTTTGCAGTTCAGTCGGAGCCTCCATGCTGATCATTCGGTGCCTCTGAGCTGTACAGAGAAGTGTGCAACAGTCAGATATTTTAGGTCTAACCTATACATACCCTAACCCTGTCCCACCAAGTTCACTCAAGCGCTTCAACTCAAACATCCACTTCTAAGAGAGAAGTTAAGTGTTGTGAGGACTTGTCTACTACAGTTATACTCACAGCCCCCAGCCACACCTCCTCAAGTAACAGAAAGACAAAGACTGATCATCAGACCTCACACACGTCAATTAAATATCAGCTACTCCCTCCGTCCGAAAAAACTTGTCCCAAGCCTGTTCCTCAAATGGATGTATCTAGCACTAACTTGGTGCTAGATACATCAATTTAAGGGACAAGTTTTTCCGGACGGAGGGAGTACATTCAATTCTAAGAACTTACACTAATGCTCATGAGAATATGACTCAACTAAATCAAATATGTTTATATTACTCCCGCCGTTCCTAAATATAAGTCTTTTTATAGATTTCAATATTGAGTACATACGGATGTATATAAACGTAGTTTAGAGTGTAGATTCACTCATTTTGCTCCATATGTAGTCCATATTGTAATCTCTAAAAGGACTTATATTTAGGAACGGAGGGAGTATTAAGGAATAAAGCACCTAGCATGGACGAGAGGGGCAAGCACTGCAGCATGAGCAAGCATACGAGGAATGAAGATGGCCCTTCTAGTGAGGATAAGAGGATTTCAAGACTTTGCGTCCGCCATGATGACACATGGAAACATGGATGAAATATACAAGACGACACTTCATAACTTTGTCCATAATCATCCATAGGTGTTGTGTGACCTCGCTTTTAGGCCAGGCCCACAAAATAATGAAATACAGAACAATAAGCAGTTTTTAGAGTCCGTATTAGTGGAGAAAACGGACTTAGGGTTGATTTCGGCACCCTCCTTGGGCTGGCCGAATTTCCCCTTTGTGCCACCAAAAATACCACCCCTAAGGCATCGTTTAGAATTGGGTTTGGTTTACTCAAAAGCCAGCCAATGTTCCAACTTCATGTAAACTGACATGTCCAACGCCATTAGCGAACCGCATTTGGAACCCCAGTTTAATCAATCCTTAGTTTGCAATACTTAGATTGCTATTCTTAGTTCTCTTTTGTTCTCGGTCAAACACAGGGGATTAGACATTCATGGGCAGGCTGGACGTGCCTCTGACATCATCGGTAACCCCAAGGATACAAGTCTAGCGGTAGGGTGCACCATCTAGTGTCTGGTGTAGTTAGGTAGTCAAGGACCTAAAGGTCGATTCAACGCAAATCGAATAAGTGCCTCCCACCGAAAGATTAAACACCCTTGTGGCTATCATTGCGCTGAGTTCAAAAAGCATTCTACTCCAACATCCACGTCAAACCTTTGAATATCTTCTCTCCTATTTGCTCTCAAGTCTATCTTTCAAACATCCAAACTCTCCAAATCCAAAGATCTATCCTATGACAGTTTGAGTGTGGAGGAGATTATCTTATGAAGCATAACCAAGGGATTCGTCAAAAAAGAAAGGGCAGCCCGGTGCACGTAGCTCCCGCTTGCGCAGGGTCCGGGGAAGGGTCTGACCACTTTGGGTGTATAGTACGTAGCCTTTCCCTGCATTTCTGTGTTTCCCAGGACTCGAACCCGTGACCTCATGGTCACAAGGCAACAGCTTTACCGCTGCGCCAAGGCTCCCCTTCAAGGGATTCATCAAAGGCAACCTTATATTGTAAACTTTTGAGGGTGTGCGCATCCTAGATCGACTAGGTGTGCTTGGGAGCCTTCAAGGTGTGAAGGCACCAAGAAATTTGTGAGGGCTTGGAGATCATATCCCGAGTGAGACTTGACCTTTGTAGTCTATAAGCCACGGTGGAATAGATTGGTCTGCGCTTGGTGGGCCTGTGGGCGACCGAACCAAGACCTACAACATGTCATGCAATCAGATGTTCTGACATGCAAAACTGAAGGTTAGAATTACCATGTTTTAATAATTTCTAGAGAATAAGAAAATAAAAACTAAAAGCAATTTATGCCCTAGGAGGCAGAACATGCTTAAGAACATATTCCTGGTCAGAAAATAGGTTAAAGATCTTGAGTGGCCATTTTAGATTTCTGATTATGCATCCATACAGCTAACTCGAGCTCAAGGTCATAAAATGTATTGATAATATGCAAAAATCACATAATCAATGCATCTTCAACTCAAAAATCACCTACTATATTTTATCAGCAAACTAACATCATGGAATTAAAACTACAATACCATCTCTAGCTAGGTAAGAGCACAGAACATATGCAAATATATTTAGAAACAAGGGACTCGTACACCAGGAATTTCCATCTTTTATGTCCAGCATTACAGCTTCTTTTGCATGATTAATGCTCTCTTCCACTAACAACACTTGGTCTTCACTAGCTGCAGATGCAAATAGAAAATACATGAGTGCAACGAGATGAAAATTTGCCGACACCAAAAATCAGCTTCCATCAAACTAGGTGCAAAATATTATCTAAGAGAAAAAAAAACTCATGCACAGAAACAATCAACAATAGATAATCCAACACATCAGAAAATTATGTTGAACTTCCCCAAAATAATAACTCTTAACCAATAATGCCTAGTCCTTTTTGTAAAGCGGATCAGTGAGCAAGAGGCTAATCTGAACACCTATGAGAGAAAAGGACATACCATAAATTAAAGCTCAGGGACCACCCATGAAGTTCTCAAATTCTACTCAATTTAGTGACAACTCCATCAAAAAGGAAACTAACCAATTCAAGTCAAAGTCTGTTAGCCTAAGTAATCTCATGCAGTAGTGTAGTTTTTCTTTCTGTTGTGAAATAATGCATGCTTGGACATGTACGTAGTGGAGAGCTGCGTCTCTCCGTAGGATACTCCCACCTCCTGGTCATGGTCTCTGGTCGATCCAGTCGCTGGATGGAGCGACACTTGCGGATCGCAGCAGCCTGGCCGGGAGGTGGTTAGTGGAGTCCTGTATGATGCATAAGATGAGGAATAACAGAACAGAAAACGCTGCGCGTTGTGGCAGCACAAAACTCTCTCTCTCGCGCAAGGTCATCTCCTTCCTCTCTCTCTCTCTGTCTCGTTGGCAACTACATTTGGTATCAGAGCCTAGGCGTTTGATCCCTGGCGCGGCGGCGATGTGTGATCCGTCGTAGTGATGTCCGGTGACGAGTCAGACGGGAAGAACAAAGGCGGTGGCAAGTCGCCGCCGAAGACGCCAACATCCACAGCTCCGCTCGCGCGCCTCACCGGCAGCGGCGAGATCAGGGAGGTTGAGCACGTCGTGCGCGAGGAGGCGGGGGCGTCCATGATGCTCACGCGCACCAACTACATGGAGTGGGCGCTTGTGATGCAGGTCAAGTTGCAGGTCGCCTGGGTCTGGTCCGCGGTGACCGGCGACGTCGCCGACGAAAACGACGACCGGCGCGCGCTGCAGATCATTCTCACCGGCGTTCTACCGGAGATGCTGCGCGTGCTGGCCGCCAAGGACACGGCGAAGACGGCGTGGGAAACGATCCGGACGATGCGGATGGGCAGTGAGCGCGCCCGCGAGGCCAAGGCGCAGGTGCGCCGGCGAGAATTTGAGGATCTCCGGTTCAAAGACGGAGAGTCCGTCGAGGATTTCGGGCTGCGTCTCGCCGCCCTCGTCGCAAAGTTGTTCAGAAATTTCTTCGTGTGGTGCCGCGGAAGTATCGCCCGATGGCCATGGCGATTGAATCACTGATCGATATGAAGACCATGACGATCGAAAAACTCGTCGGGCGCTTCTCGGCTTGCGAGGATCACTACGACCTCGACTACGCCACGCAGTCCACTGGGCTGCCTCATGCTGACGCACGAGGAATGGATGGCCAGAGAAAAACAAGGCGGTGGCGGCGGGTCGACATCCAGCGCGGGCAGCGGCAAGAACAAGTCACCAGCTAAACCCAAAGGCGCGGGCGGCGGCAAGCCTGCGTCAGGAAACCAGGGTGCAGGCATCGGGCGGCTCAGGCGGCAAGAAGAAGAAAGGGAAATGCCATCACTGCGGCATCCCGGGGCACTGGAAGAAGGAGTGCCGGACGTGGCTCCGTGAGCAGGAGCAAAAGGGCACCCAGGAGCAGGCAAACCTGGTGCAAGCCGGCGCAGATCACGACCCAGGTCTGTACATGGCCGTGGTCACCACCGTTTCCACGCCTCAGATCGCCGCGCCGCAGGAAGTCTTCCTCAACGAAGAAAAGGTAATGCCAATGCCCTCGCCGAACGGAGTGTGGTACTTCGACACCGGCACCAGCAGCCACATGACGGGCGACATGAAAGTCTTTGCGTCGCTTGACGAAACTGTGCACGGCACGGTTAAGTTCGGCGACGGCTCTGTGGTGGCCATACGCGGACGCGGCTCGATGGTCTTCCACTGCCAAGGCGGAGGGCAGCGCGTGCTCACGGGTGTTTTTCACATCCCGAGCCTGCGCACGAACATCATGTCAGTTGGACAGCTGGACAAAGCGGGCTGCATCGTCAACATCCAAGCTGGCGTGATGACCATCCAGGACCCAGGACGGCGCACACTGGCACACATCCATCGCTCTGGAAATCGTCTGTACATTGGCGCGCTCGAGATCGACGCGCCCAGGTGCATGCTGGCGCTAGGAGACGACGTGACCTGGCGTTGGCACGCGCGCATGGGGCATCTGCATTTCCGTGCTCTCCGCACTATGTCATCGAAGCAGATGGTGCAGGGCATGCCAGTGATCGACCGCGTCGAGGAGTACTGTGATGGGTGCGCTCTCGGAAAGCAACATCGCACGCCGTTCCCACAAGTCGTCGCGTACCGCGCAGAGCGCGGGCTAGAGCTCGTGCACACTGACCTTTGTGGGCCGATCGAGCCGACCACACCTGGAGGGAGCAAGTATTTTCTGCTGATCGTGGACGACTATAGTCACTACATGTGGTTGGAGCTGCTCAAGTCCAAAGATGAGGCCTTTGCAAGGTTCAAAAAGGTGCAAACTCTCGCGAAGGCAGAGGGAAATTGCAAGCTGCGCGCGTTCAGATCTGATCGCGGCGGCGAGTTCAACTCCGGCGAGTTCAAGGTCTACTGTGAAGAGATCGGTGTCAAACACTACACCACTGCTCCGTACTCGCCGCAGCAAAATGGAGTGGTAGAGCGGAGGAATCAGACGGTCGTGGAAATGGCCAGATGCATGTTGAAGAGCATGGACATGTCGGCGTACTTCTGGGCGGAGGTGGTGAGAACCGCCGTGTATGTGCTCAACCGCGCGCCCACGCGCAGTCTGGAGGGTGTCACGCCTTATGAAGCGTGGCACGGCCGTAAGCCCAACGTGCAACACTTGCGCACGTTCGGGTGCACGGTTCATGTCAAGAACGTTGGCCCCGGCGTCACCAAGCTCAACGACCGCTCAACGGCAATGGTGTTCATCGGATACGAGGAAGGTTCCAAGGCCTACCGTGTGTACAATCCTACAACGAAGGTGCAGGTAACACGAGACGTGATCTTTGAAGAGAGCAGGCCCTGGACATGGCGTGCACCGGGGGCGGCAGAGAATCGTGCCGCGCCGACCACCTTCACAGTCGTGTACACCACTGCCAGCAGGGTCTCCGGCGTGTGCCTCGACACCGCAACGGTCCCCATCGCCAACAACACCTGCATTTACGGCCTCTCCTGCTGGGGCGATCACGCCCGCCTCGAGTGCATCAGGGACATCACAGTCCGCTCCGGCGACACCTACAGCAGCAAGCGAAGATTGCTCGGCCACGCCTCAGTCACACGACTCCAGACACGACGCGCCAACAAGACAGCCGGTTCGCTACCGGAGCTTCACAAGTGTGCTGGAGGAGACTGAAGATCAGGCAGTGCGCGAACAGTTTGAGCGCTGCCTGCTCGTGCGCTGTCTGTTCAGCGCGGAGGAGCCACGTGAAGTGGATGAAGCGCTAGCCAGCAAGGCGTGGAAAGGCGCCATGGATGTCGAGATGCAGTCCATCGTCGACAATGGCACATGGAAACTCGCTCAGCTCCCGGCTGGACACAAGGCGATAGGACTGAAATGGGTTTTTCGTGTCAAACGTGATCCGGCAGGCAATGTCGTCAAGCACAAAGCTCGCCTCGTCGCAAAGGGGTACGTCCAGCGTCAGGGGGTGGATTTGGAGGAGGTCTTCGCCCCCGTAGCTCGCATGGAGACAGTTCGACTGCTGCTGGCCCTCGCCGCGCACTCTGGCTGGGAAGTTCATCACATGGATGTGAAGTCAGCCTTCCTAAACGGCAATCTCACTGAGGAAGTGTACGTTGCTCAGCCACCCGGGTATGAAGTTGCAGGCCAGGAAGGAAAGGTACTCCGTCTGCACAAAGCACTGTATGGTCTGCATCAGGCACCGCGGGCGTGGTATGCAAAGTTCGATGAAACTCTCACCTCCCTTTGTTTCACGCGGAGCGCTCTGGAGCATGCAGTGTACCGACGAGGTAACTCACAATCATACTTGTTGGTTGGAGTGTATGTAGATGATCTGATCATCACAGGAACCGCAGCAGCAGACATTATCTCTTTCAAAGAGCAGATGCAGCAACTCTTCAAGATGAGTGATCTCGGGCTGCTAAGTTACTATCTGGGCATAGAGGTAGGACAAAGCAGCAGTGGAATTACTCGAGTCAGAAGAGCTATGCGGGCAAGATTCTGGAGATAGCAGAGATGAGCAACTGCAACAGTTGTCACACGCCGATGGAGTGTCGCCTGAAACTGAAAAAAGAAGATGACGGTGAACTGTTTGATGCCACTCTGTACCGCAGGGTGATTGGGAGCCTGCGCTATCTTGTGAACACGAGGCCAGACATTGCACATTCAGTGGGTATTGTAAGCAGATTCATGGAGAAGCCAAGCACTCATCACTGGGCAGCAGTCAAACAGATACTAAGGTATATCAAGGGCACAATGCACTACGGGTGCAGCTACAGGAGAGGACATGGAGCCGCTGAACTGATTGGATTCAGCGATAGCGATCATACTGGGGACGTTGGAGATCGGAAAAGCACTTCTAGACATGTTTTCTTCCTCGGTAAAAATCTGGTTACTTGGAGCTCTCAAAAGCAGAAGATTGTTGCTCTCTCTTCCTGTGAAGCAGAATACGTTGCAATAGCAGCTGCCACTTGTCAGGGACTGTGGCTGAGCCGGCTGCTGGAGGACATCGTAGGTACCTCGCCAGCGAAGTTCAAATTACTGGTGGACAACAAATCAGCCATAGCTCTGAGCAAGAACCCAGTTCATCATGATCGAAGTAAACACATCGACGTTAAGTTTCACTTCGTGCGAGATTGTATGGAGAAGAAACAGGTGGAGATAGATCATGTTGGGACTCAGGATCAGCTGGCCGATGCACTCACCAAGGCGCTCGGGCGCGTTCATTTCATCGAGATGCGGCAAAGACTTGGGATGATCGGCGTAGTGCAGTGAGATTAGGGGGTGAAATGTTAGCCTAAGTAATCTCATGCAGTAGTGTAGTTTTTCTTTCTGTTGTGAAATAATGCATGCTTGGACATGTACGTAGTGGAGAGCTGCATCTCTCCGTAGGATACTCCCACCTCCTGGTCGTGGTCTCTGGTCGATCCAGTCGCTGGATGGAGCGACACTTGCGGATCGCAGCAGCCTGGCCGGGAGGTGGTTAGTGGAGTCCTCCTGTATGATGCATAAGATGAGGAATAACAGAACAGAAAATGCTGCGCGTTGTGGCAGTACAAAACTCCCTCTCGCGCGCGCAAGCTCATCTCCTTCCTTCTCTCTCTCTGTCTCGTTCGATCGGCAACTACAAAGTCAAGATTATCTATGGAGCAAGGCTTATACAACGGAAATGGGACTAAGCAAAAAGCACAAATTTAAACTATCAAAGTCTGATTTGTGTTAAGGAGTATTACTATTCGTCTAGGTGTTCGTATTAGTCTAGATTTCCTTTCTTGTACTCCAAGTCCCCCGTACTATATATTTGCCCCTTAGACTATGCAATAGATGCATTCATAACATCCTATCATGCACCCAGGTTTAGGAAAAAAAATCAGACATCCGCAACTCGTCCTCTCGATCACCTCCCTCAGCCTCTCCCCCGATCTCATTCTTATCAAATGGATTCCACTCCTCCCTATCGATTCTTTTTTCGGTCCTATGGATGATCCCCTCCTCTCCGGCATGAAGCGGCTAGCCCGTTTTTGTACTCAATCTCGACCGTTTCCCAGTCTTCCCCCGTTCCCATCATTTTTCACGGTCCAAGCTTCCAATGGCCATCTCCTTGACTGGATCGACATCATAGCACATGGGTGCTGGAAGCTAGAGTCCCTGGGTCGAAGCCATCTTCTCCCAAGATAGTGCTAGGATCAAAGAGCCCCTGGATGATGCCTCCATTGATAGTGCTAGGATCAAAGTTGTCGGAAATCCAATGGAGCACATCGATGCTCCACTCTGGTGTTGTGTTGAAGCAAGAGTCCCCGCCGAATATGTGATGCCTTGGTCGCCACCACTCATCATTCGCATCTTCAGGCCGCCCTCATCCACTAGGACCTCATGCCACCTCTAGCTAGACATGTGTCGTCGTCGCCGTCCCTCCCTCCATCCCTCTGAATTGCAAGATCCTCTTTGTGAGTTCCTTCCTTGTCTTTCTGGAGAAGGCTAGATCTATTTTTCTCTATCTTTGGCTTTGGCGGCATCGGGTGGGTCCCTAGTCACACCTTATATACTGGCATGGCTAGGGTTACACAGCTTGACCCGGGATGGTTCAGGGCCTCGAGACCTACGCAGCTTCACATCTCGGGTCTTGTATCTTGTCTGCATCTACTTCGGGCTCGCGACCCTCTCCGGGCTGAGTACTCTAACTTCATCTGTCATGGGATCGCCCTTTCAAAGGGACCAAGGGAGCCCTCGGGATCATGTCTCGCGTTCTTTGCTCTACAACCTCATTAGTAGCCCTCGAGTGCTAGGCGATCTTTTCTTTGCAAATTGTGTGGGACTTGTTGGAACTCCTTTACACAACTCTCGAGCCTTTTGGAGAAACCACTGATTTTATGGATGCAGCTTATCTCTATTGCATAGCCCAAGGGGTATATACATATTACACAAGACTTGGGTACAAGAAAAGAGACATAGCCTAACAAGGAGGGAGAACATGGTGGGATCGCATGGCATGAGAAATATAAAAGCACAACAGACTTGGTAGACACAATGGAAAATAGAACAAAGCTACTCCCTCCGTTCCTAAATATAAGTCTTTTTAGACATTTCAAATGGACTACAACATACGAATGTATGTAGACATATTTTAGAGTGTAGATTCACTCATTTTGCTCCGTATGTAATCACTTGTTGGAATCTCTAGAAAGAGTTATATTTGGGAACGGAGGGAGTAGAAGCTAGGAAGCACACATGAGACAATGATACATGAGCCATCGTGTTTGCAAAAGAGGCTACGTAGGAGGTAGTGCGGATAAGATGCTTCCGAGGAGCAGCGGAAAAGAGCAACTAGCGGACGAGCGCCCAACACCAGTGGAAGGTGCATGTGCGAGATGGAGTCGGCAAAGAAAACCGTCAAAAAATGACCAAGCGTCGAGGAAGAAAGACAGTGCCTCATGATGACATTTTTTCTTGATTTTCTTAGAATATCGCCCAACACAGATGGACATGCAATCAGGAGAAAACAGGTGACCAAGAAGTAACAGGCCCAAGCACTAGCAACACCCAGCTAGCACAGCCGTACACAACATCGGGGGCAACTTGAAAGGAGATTCCTAGCAATGGTGGCGGTGGCCGGAAGGGCAGAAACAATCTGTGGGGCATCGATCGGGGCAGGAGCGACATGGATGGCGGAGAAGGGCCTAACTGGCGTGTGTAGGCAGTAAGCTGGTCGCATTCGTCGATTTGGGAGATGTTGGGCGGTGGAAAGGAGGCGGCAGCCCACGTCTGACCAGTAGGGCACACGTCTGGAAGTGGGCACACGCTTGAGCAGGGGTGAGCACGTGGCGTTGAGCCCAGGAGTCGTCAACTCGGGTAGGAGTTCCTCCCTCCCTCTCTCTCTCTCTCTCTCTCGTCCATTCCGACTTCCCCCATGCTCGTCCCTCCGAACAAACTCGACATCCTCTTGACGGTACTGCCGAAACGAATCTATATTGGCCTATGTCTCTTTACTTATTTGTTTTAGTATAGATTTCCTTCCTTGTACCCCAAGTATATTGTACTACATGTTTGCCCCATGGGCTATGCAATACATCTAAGTTGCTCCTCTAACAACAGGCACAATGGCACAATAACATCAGCACTACAACTAATAGCCAATGCTTCGATACAATACTAAGTCTCGTGATAGTCTTGTTAAAAACTTCTTTACTTATCATCCAAGTAATGCTATAAGATAATTTGAGCAAAAATGGCAGATTAATTTTATTATCTCACACAAAAAAGAGCAAAAAAAATTCTTGTAATTGTATACAAAAAAAAAAACAGATTATGCATGCCTAGCTATTCATCGGTGGAGTTAGGACGGTGGCATAGTTTGCAATAGAACTTTGAACTTTGAAAAACCATCGGTTGAGTGATAGAAGACATCCTTACATTGAGCCATACTCCTTTCAAGCATTGAGAGTTGACATAGTATTTTCTTATCTGCGCCCTGCCAAATGAAATTATGCTCTGGAGAATTAAGAAACATATAAGAACAGAATAAGTAACTACATCCAGATTAATTTACCTTACTTAGTGCTAATAAGAAACAGTTCCTTGCTGATGCCAAATTCCCCTTCTTCCAGATGCAGTTACCCAAACATAGCCATGCATCCACAAGAGATGGATTCAGCTTTACCTATCCAGGAGCAACAGACATTATTTAGGATTCTAACCAGGAAAACTCCAGGAGCAAGAGAAGGAATTGTTTAATCTTCTGCTACGTACTGCTTTGGATAAATGCTCTTCAGCCTCCTTACAATAATCTGGGAAGACATCGAGTATTTTTCCCATCAAAAATTCATAAATAACACGCTCTTCTGGGGATTTTCTTTGCTCTGTAACGTATGAGAAACTAAAATTAATACAGAAACAGAGCATGGCAGGAACATTTCTACAAGGGTGAACTATTACAAGAAATCTGATGAAGATACATATGCACATATTTATATGAATAGGCGTAAAAACAGTTCGAATAGTTTCCAACCAATCTGAACTCTTTCTTTAAGAAAACCAGTCAGATAATTAGTTTACTTTCCTTTGAAGAAAAGGTAGACCATTGTCTACCTTATGCATTCAAAACGAGCCGTAGCCCAGGTGACCAGAGGTCAATTATGTGAGTTTGGTGGAACAGAGAGCTAGGCGGAGCAACATCCATTCTAACTCTCTGGAAGCCATTGACAAGATTTGGGTGCAGGTTGTGTGCCAAAAATCCTTCTCAACCTGAGAAGAGACGTTGCAGGAAGGGTCTCAAGCAAAAGAATAGAGTACGGGGGAAATCAAGTGCAGCCTGCCCAGGGGTGACTATTGATCATGCCAGAAAGAGATGAGCGAGCCATTACGTAGCACACAGCAGGGAGATTGCAAAACCCACGGGATGCAGGATTTTAAAGTTTTCCAAATATTAGTTGTTGGAATCGGGGCTATGGGGACCCAAGAAGGTTCGAACTCTGGGGTGCGCTCGTTGCCTACGTTCCGCTCTACCTCGCGACCCTCAACTCGGTGGGCTCGGTGATGACCTCCGTGCTGGCGAGCCCGTCATCTTGGTCTTCTTGCACCGAACGGGTAACCTTTGGGGATTGCTTTGGGAACCGGTGCGCTGTCCTTGCTCCCTTAGCACGAAGAGGGAAGCCTCATCATTCGCGTCTGTTGGCGCCCCTCTGGCTCCGCACGTCGCCACGTGCATCACCCACGTAAAGACGCAGGGCCGCGTGACTCCGCCGTGCAGCCCTTGACTCGCATGCCCCCGGGGCCTCAGGAAGCCGCCCCGCAAGAGGGCCTCGCGAGGCTCATGGTGACACTCGATGACGCATGCCTCGCGAGGCAAAGCCCTCGCGAGGGTCTTACTCGTGACGCCCTGGAGGTGGGCCTGCCTTGGGCCTACAGGTGGCGCCGCGCTCTGGGCCGCAGGCAGACGGGCATGGGTACCGCCAGTCCCACGGGCCCGAAAGTAGCACCCGCGCCTGCGGCGTGCACGACTCTGTCTGCGGAGGGAGGGGGCGAAACGGCGCGGGCCCCATTCGCCTGCGGGCCAGGCTCGACACATGGCGCACGACGGGGCGCAGGACGCCCCCACTTCCCCACGATGCCTCGGCAACTACCCGGGCTAACATAAAGCTTGTCAGGCGCGGCGCGGCGCCATCATTGCTCTTCCTCTGTTCTGCATCCATCTTCAGAAGGCGAAGGGGCACGGACCGGCCCCCATCAAACGCTATATAAGGGCAAGGGGACGGACCCCTTGGCGAGGGATGGCCGGACCGGACGAGAGCGACGAAGATCGGCGACTGGTGGCCGGATCCGGTGAGGGACGGCGAAAAACGAGGCCGGCGGCGGAAGATCGATCGTGGGCGGACACTCCTGTGCGGGCTTGATCTGGATCGATCGCGGGCAGAGACTCCTGTGTGGGCTTGATCTGGATCGATCACGAGCAAGAGGCTCTTGGAGCTGGCTTCGATCTGAATCGATCGCTGGAGGCTCGCTTCGATCTTTTTTTTTAACCGGGCATAACCCCTTCCCATTACTTATCATAACGGAAATACAGTAGTTCGAGCTTAAGGAAGCTAGAAAGGGGAAAGCGAGTTCAAGGCACCACTATGAAACCCACTGTAAGCACTCGTCATCGAGCAGCTCATTATGGGGCGAAAACCCAGTGACACCTAAATACCAACTAGCCTAACCAACGCAACGAGGGTACCAACAAACAATCTCCAGAGGGGGTAAGGCTCACAGGATGAGCAGAAAGCAAAAGCCCACGCAAGTGCAATGATCAAAGTCTAACATAACAGCTGGGCATTTTTTCTGAGGTAAGGCAGGACGGCAACAACTCGTCAGTCCATCGTAGGTTCAGCTGGGGCCGCGCAGATCCTCATCATAGTCGCAGCGTTGGTCTTGAGCATCTTGGCGCCACGTTCCATTGCATCGCGGTCAACTCCAGCCATCAAACCTGCCCGGTAGTTCAAGAAACCACACGCAGAGAAAACCACATCAAAAGGAGTCTTTAGCTTTTTAGGTTCAAATGTGGCCCTATTGCGACAGTTCCACATAGCCCAGCATATCGCAGCAAGGCCAAAGGTATAGAATTTAGATCCACCCGGCAAGAAAATATAACACCAGTAGAAGTATTGCCACAGATTGTTCGGGCATAATTTCGTGCCTAGGACACCCAACGGTTCTCCAGACTACCCTGGCGACAAGGCAGGTGAAGAAAAGGTGTTACGAGGTTTCTCTATCCATACAAAAGGAGCACTTCGGGTTTCCAACCCAGTTTCGTCTGCTCATGACATCTCGTGTACACAACATCCTGGAATAATTGCCATAAAAATATTTGAATCTTAAGAGGGAGTTTAGCTTTCCATATCCATCTATAATCACAGCCAGCTAGATGCTTTTTCATGTATGCGTATACAGACTTAGCTGTGAAGCGTTTATTCTTCCCAAGATTCCAGACTACTTGGTCCGGCTCATTGGAGAGTAACCATGAACCAACCACTCGCTTGACTTCCCCCCACTGATCCAGCAGCGGAGGGTGCAAGCGCCTCCTAAAGAAATCGACGCCAACATTTTTTTTTGAACTCGGCAACTGTAATCTCCTGATCATTGCATATACTATAAAGTTCAGGGAATCTATCACGCAAAGGAGGATTATTGGCAATGGAGTCAATCCACATTCTAGCAATGTTGCCAGATTTCAAGACCACCCCTCTTCCAGCCAGATAGCACTCTTTGACCTTCATAATGGCTTTCCAAATCGGTCAATATCCGAATCTACTTCTCACCGATGTTACCGTATCTTTTTTCAAGTACTTAGCGCGAATCACATCCTGCCACAACCCTTGTTGTGTCTCGAGTTCCCACCACCATTTCGTGAGTAAGCTAATATTTTGCTTACGGAGATCTTTACCGAAAAAGGCTTTCGCCCCGCTTTATAAATAAAGCAAACCGCCACAGACCACCAAGTATCACAAATGAGTCCACAACACACACACCCAAGTCTCACAACATAAAGTACAAGAGGTTCTGTCGAGGGCACAGCTCAACAAGCCCAAAGAAACAAAAAAAGGCCGGTAACATCGGAGAGCCAAGGAGGCACTAATCAGGCTCAGGAGGTGGCGGAGGAAGCGGCGGTGCCAATCGGAGAGCCATCGCACGAAGGTCGGAGATGATGACGGTGATGGCGTCCTGGTCCTGGGGGCGGCTAAGAGGCCGCCAAAGCTACAAGAAACCACAAAGTTTGAACACTGCGTCAATAGCCCGTCGAAGGGGAATCCGCTGGATGACTAGCTTATTCCGAACCGTCCAAAGCGTCCAGGCAAGGGCACCTATGGTCAGCCACCTAATGTGGCAACACGTAGGGGGCGAGGCCTGGATCTTGGCGAAGAGGTACGAGAAGTTGGTGTGGCACCAACTTCCACCAAACGACTCGCGCGCACAACTCCAAAGAAACTGGGCCGAGACACAAGAGAAGATGTGGTTCGAGTCCTCGGGGTCCCACACAGAGGGCAAAGCCCGTCGCCAGGATTCATCCCGCTGATGGCCGTCCAGGACAGATCTAATCGGGTTGGTGCAGTTAACTTGCGAATGACTGACGATGCCGCAATTGAAGCAAGTCACTTCGGACGCCGCGGGGTCGGACACGGGAGGAGCGGAGGCACCGGGGGCCAAGGGGGCGGTGGCCGCCACCCGGGTCTGTCCCCGACGCTTCTTCTTCTTGGCGCCCTGCCGGCCCCTGTTAGGGCCATTGCCCGCCCCGGTCGGCAGTGGCGCGATGAGGCGGCTGGTACCGGTCAACCGGGGGGGACTGGCCAGAAGGGGCCGGGCGAGCAAGGGAGGTTCATCCACGGCGCGGCGGGGAAGCGGAGCGCTCCCGGCGACGAGTGGGGGAAGGGGAGCAACGACGGGAGGTCCGCCACTCCGCGTCCGGAGGGAAACGCGAACGGGAGCGGCCCCGACGGTCAGAGCGAGTGGGAGAGCGATGGTCAGGGGAGCGTTGGTCAGGGCGAGGTGGAGAGCGACGGCCGTCCTAAGAATCACGGGCGTCGCGGTTGGAGAGCTGACAGTGGAGGTAGGAGATCTTTCACCCCCCCCCAATCCCCCTTTATTCTTAGATCTACAGATCCTAGTCCATTTCACAAGATGATGTCGTTTCCTGCCATTAGTTTCTTGCTAGAAGAACTTTTTACGATGTTTGTCTAATTTGTAGATCACCATCTTAGGAAGTAAGAACATAGCCATGTAGTAATAGACAATGCTAGAAAGGGAGGAATTTAGGAGTATAGGTCTTCCTCCCGAGGATGCGGCATTACCAATCCACGATTCACAACATTTTAGGAATTTGTCATCTACAAAACTCCAGTCCAGGCTGCGCAAGGTGGAGTAGCTTACCGGCACTCAAAAGTATTTCATCGGGAAATGCCCAATTTGTCAGCATAGGAAGCTAGTATATTATCGTCTCCCCCAACACACAAAATTTCACTTTTAAGTTAGTTTATTTTGAGTCCAGACATAAGCTCAAAGATATATAAGAGGAGTTTCAAATTAACAGCAGCTTCCTCATAATGTTCAAAGCAAATGACCGTATCGTCAGCATATTGGAGGATGGCCACGCCACCCTCTATGAGGTCCGGAACGAACCCAGTTATCATTTTTTCTTTCTGAGCATTGTGAATCATCTTAGAAAGTGCTTCTACAGCAAGGTTAAACAGAAAAGGGGAATAGGGATCGCCCTGGCGAACACCTTTGTTGCTCTGGAAATAAGGTCCCATCTCGTTATTGAGTTTTACGCTTATTGTACCATTATTCAGGATTTTTTTTCACCCAGCCACACCAATTTGTCCCAAACCCTCGGTTACTATGGCATTCAAGGAGGAAATCCCAGTTTATCTTGTTGCAGGCTTTTTCAAAATCTAGCTTAAGCACTAGCCCACTTTTTTCTTTTGATGAGTATGGTGTAGCACCTCATGGAGAGTGAGGATCCCATCCATAATATTCCTGTGCTTAACAAAAGCATTCTGGTGTTTGTTGATAAGCTTGTCAGCAAAAATAGCTACTCTGTTATCCATCACCTTAGTGATCAACTTATAAGGACATCGAAGGAGACAAATAGGGCGATATTGTTGGATTTTCTTAGCACCATTCATTTTGGGTATCAAGGTGATCACACCATAGTTTAGACGAGCCACATCCAGAGTGTTATTATGAAAAGCATGAAACAAACGCATAATGTCAGATTTAACAAAATCCCAACAATGCTTATAAAACTCAGCCGGGATATTGTCTGGGCCAGTGCCCTATTACTATCCATGCCGAACAATGCTTTTTTCACCTCTTCCTCTGTGAATTCACTGGTTAGGAGTATATTATCCTTTGCAGTGAGTTTCTCTTCTTCCGACCAGGCATAGGCAGATAGGTGAAATAAATTCCCCTGGCCGGACCAAAAAGTTTTTTGGCTCGCTTCGATCTGGATGGGAGGGAGTTGAACGGCAGCGTCACGGACGTGCAGGGAAGGAGAGGAGCGGCCTTGGGTTGACCGGCTGCTACGATGGAGAGAAAAAGCAGCGGCGGCGGCCACGGGGGATCAATAGCACGAGTTGCAGCGTGCAAAAAAATTGACCTAGCTCTAATACCATGTTAGAAAATATGCAACTTGTATTCCCATGGTGCCATGGTCCAGTATATATACATGTACTGGTGTAGGAAATATGCAGAAAACCCCTTATGCAATGGGGTAAATACAAAAGGCTACATCGTTATATATATAGTACTCTAACATAACTTTCTTACACAATACAGTAAACCCTCTTCTGATTTATTGCATGCCAACAGGACAACCGAGGTTCCACGGTTGTACAATTAGGCCTCCTTTGGTTTGGAGGAATTTCATAGGAATTCTAGAGGATAGGATTCTTATAGGATTTTTTTCTTTAGAGCCCTTTGGTTCATAGGAATGGATTCCTATTCCTATATAGGATTGGTTCCTATCCTCCACATTTCATAGGAAAATAAAAATGAGCCTAGACTCAATGGAAAAATTCCTTTGGTGTCAACCAAATGACATCTTGTTTCCTATTCCTACTCATAGGATTTGAGATACATGTCATCTCATTTCCTACAAGATTCCTATTCCTACGATAATCCTATCCTATGAACCAAAAGAGGCCTTAATTTTTTAAGCGTGTTCTGGCTAAGGTCAGAAATCATCATATACATACCAATGGTATTCAAACTGTCATCTTACCGTGATCATCACTATCTTACCCCAATACTGGTTTTGTCTGTTTTGTACCATGCACTCCCCCTAGTGTATGTCATGCCAGCGGCCAGCCACCACGCTTAATAGCTCCCAGACCCCGGCACCACATATCTACAGAAGCTGTTGACACCCATACTAGAGTTTTCTTCTAAATTAGAAGTATCAATACACGTGACAGTAACAAAAATAAAGGGGCTGGCTAGAAAACAAGAATATTAACACGAAGATGAATAGTTTGTTTGCCGGTTGGGGGGTGGGGATGCGTACCGGGAGGCAGGGAATCGAGGACTCCCAGGGCGGCGTCGGCGCAGGCGCGGAGGGACGCAGACTTCTCGGAGGGGTCTCGGGGGAAGAAGGTGTCGCGGAGACTGTACAGCTCCTCCACTTTATCCGCCACCTTCTCCAGCGGCGTCCACCCCGCCTCCTCCCCTTGGTTCCCCTGCCCCTGCTGCCGCTCTGGCTCGGGTACCGGGACAGAGCTCACCGACGCGCCGCTGGCCTCGCGGCTCATCGTTTCCCTGGGCGGCGATGCGATCTGTGAAGGCGGAGAGGGCATGCTCGGTAGGATGCCATATGCCCGAGACAATTTGCCACTAGTTGGATGTGTTTGGTTGCAAGAATCGTCCAGGTTAGGTCGGGATGGTACCAAAAAAAAAGGTTGTTTGGTTATAAAACAGATGAATGATCCACCCTAAAAAAGAGAGTATCCATCAAAGATGCTGGACCGATCCACCCCACAGAATCGGGAGCGGCCCGCTCCCTCGCTTCTTCCGCACGTGACAAGCACGCGCGCCTCGGCCTCACCTCCCGTTCTCTCCCTCGCTATCGCTCACCCTTCCGAAACCCTCGCTCTCTCCCTTTCCAGTTCAAAACCCTAGGCGGCGGCGCACTCTCGCCCTCCTCTCTCGTCTCTCCACTCCGACCGCCCCATCTCTTCTTCCTCCTGCTCTCACCTCACGCGGCAGCATGGAAGAGGGTGTGACCTACTGCTTGTTGGAGTAGGAGGGAGGCGGCTGGGCTTTTGGAGGGCGACCCCGACCAGGCGACCAGGACCTCCGGCGACCACGACCAGGACCTCCGGCCACCACTACCACGACCTCCGGCGACCAGGATCTGACTCAGATCGACGACCAGAACCACCACCACTCTGATCCACCTCGGATCCAAAGGTAAGGACAGAAAAACACTATGCTGATAATGTGTTTTTGTGATTCCCTAGATGTTTGCATGTATGATAGATGGACCTTTGTGTTTTACATCTTGTGTTGTAGATGAACAAACAATAGAAGTTGTTTGTTTTTGGTGCTGCAGCATATATGATAGCTTCAATGATGATGATGATTGTTCAGTCTAGAAAAAGGAAAAGGAGACAGATGAGAGAATGTATTACCTATGGGCCTATAGAGGAAAGGGATAGGATGAGAATTGAGTATCTTGACAATAACATATGGAAGAATGATACAAACTGTATTAACATGATTAGACTTGGGAGAGCTCCTTTCTTTCGGTTTTGCAAACTTCTGAGGACTCGTCAGTTGCTTCATGACACTACACATATGTGTGTGGAGTAGCAAGTAGCAATGTTCTTGAACACCGTTGGACATAACTTTAGAAATAGGTTAGTTGGCACCAATTATGATAGGTCCGGTGAAACGGTTAGTCGGTATTTTCATTTGGTCCTTCATGCCATTGGTGAGCTACGGAATGAACTTATTAGGCGACCGTCATTGTCGCCCCCAACTAAAATTGAAGGCAATCCACGCTGGGATCCATACTTCAAAGTATATAAGATCCCAAATCATCTTCTATATATTTTCTTGGTTCATAGTTTCAAATTCCCATAAGTTCTAATCCTCTTGACCAAATAGGATTGTGTTGGAGCTATTGATGGAACACATGTTCGAGCTTCTGTGGATAAGGACATGGAAGCCGCTTTTCGTGGTAGAAAATCCTTCCCTACCCAAAATGTGTTGGCGGCCGTAGACTTTGATCTTCGGTTCACATATATCTTGGCTGGTTGGAGGGAACAACACATGATGCACTAGTTTTACGAGATGCTTTAGAATGGCCAAATGGTTTACGTGTTCCACAAGGTAATATAGCACAAACACTAGCAGTAGATCTCAATTCCATTTGTTGTTATAGCAATCACCCACTTGTCCCTTATATGATAGGAAAATTCTACCTAGTTGATGCTGGATATGGAGCCAAACCAGGGTTTTTGCCTCCTTTTCGTGGTGTGAGGTATCATTTGAACGAGTGGGGAAACAATCACGTGCAAAACGAGAGAGAATTGTTCAATCTTAGGCACTCTTCGCTTCGTGTGACTGTAGAGCGTGCTTTTGGGTCACTCAAGAGGAGGTTCAAAGTTCTTGATGATGCCACTCCATTCTTCCCCTTTCCAACTCAAGTTGACATTGTTGTTTCTTGCTGCATTATTCATAATTGGGTTATAGAAGATGGGATTGATGAATTAATCATACCGGAGACTGAATGGGCATCTAATCCACTTCCTGCTACAACATCGGCCGGCCAAGCTAGCGAACATGCATACATGGTTGCATTCAGGCAGGGAATAGCCGATGCCATGTGGGAAAACCGGCAGAATCATTATGCAAACTAATATGTAATATTATTGTGTTGTTCTCATGAACCTTGTGTGTTGTAATATCCCTTGACATTATCTGCAAACTTATTTTGTATTTGCTGAACAATATTGTAGTTGATGTGACTATATATGTTGAAATCCTTTTGGTTGTGAATTATACTTGCTGAATGGGCATTTGGTTGTGAACTATACATGATGAATTCATTTGGATGTGACTATACTTGCTGAATTTATTTGTGGTAGGAAATGGAGAACCAACAAGTTGGAAATCACGGTCTTCATTGGACATCCTCAATGTCCACCTATATGCTTACTCACTTTACCAACGTCGTGGCTAATGGCACTAAGACATCAACATGCTTTAAGACGGTGCATCACAATGCATGTGCTAGAGATTTAAATGATCATTTCAGGCTTTGTTTGACTGGAGGGCAGATTGCCAACCATCTGCGCTATTGGAAGAAGAAGTGGGCAAAGATAATTAGACTTAAAAATTTCCTAAGTGGTGCACTTTGGGATGAAGTTAACTTTATTATTGGACTTGATCATGAGCACTATACTGAGCATATTAAGGTATTATATTGTTGCCTTGCTGTAATTCATTGTATATACCTTTTAGTTGCTGAAATTCATCTATATATGCATAATACTTGTTGAAATCAATTTATATACGAGTTTTATTTGCTGAAATCAGTTTGTATATGAGTTATAGTTGCTGGAATCAATTTACATATGAGTTTGAATTGCTAGAATCCATTTGTATATGACTTATAGTTGCTGGAATCAATTTGTATATGAGTTTTATTTGTTGAAATCAATTTGTATATCAATTCGTATATGAGTTATAGTTGCTGGAATCAATTTATATATGAGTTTTATTTGCTGGAATCCATTTGTATATGAGTTATAGTTGCTGGAAACAATTTGTATATGAACTATACTAGCTGTAATTCATTTATATATGCACCTATACTTACTAATGGTTGTTATTGCTTGCATGGACACACAAGGGAGATGTTGAGTTCCTAAACAAACCCATAGAGCACTACACTGAGATGGCCGCGATATTTGGTAACAGTTTGGCTACCGGACAGTACGCTAAAGGATCAAATGAACTTCTAGCGAAAGGTGCTCTAGAAATTGATGATGATATTGTTGATGAGGATGCTCCAGCTACACCAACTACTCCAGCTACTCCATCTTCAACTGTCCGTGACCCCTCGGTCCCCAAAGCAGCAAAGAAAGCAAAAACTTATGCACAACAAAGCAATGATAAGCTGATGGCAACATTCACGGCTATTGGTGATAAGATTGCTAATGCTATAGTTGCAGCTGGTAAGTCCGATGATGAGTTGCCTGCTGGACTTTGGAACAACATCAAAGACATTCCTGGTTTCCAACCGGCACATCTTTCTCACTACTATGCGCATTTGGTTGAGAATGTTCGAATTGCACGTGCTTTCCACTCACTGACTTTGACAACAAGCTGATCTGGGTTGCTAGGTATGTTGCCACTACCTTTGGATGCTGAAGGCCAAGACTTAGGTTGACCGTATGACCTCTTTTGCTTGTCACATATATATAGTTAATTGTGGCAAACTCCTAACAGGCTTGTGTGTTTTTGGTTCCAGCCAGAGGCATTGAACTCCACTCTATTATGTATCGTTCTGTACTATGGCTTTTGTTTTGAGCCAATGACATTCAGTTTGTATGTACTAGGTTCTAGACTATGGCATGTATTGCCTCCTGAACTATGACTATGGCATATTTTGCTTCCAATACTAATATGTGAAGCAATTACCAAGGATTGCCATGAAATGTTGAATTATGTGTATGTGGGTAGCACATGTGTTATTTGTCACAAATGCAATTTATGTGAAGATTTGTATATCATGTGGTTATTTTGCAACTCAACTGGTATACATCACATTGTTGCACTGTATGGTGGTATTCTTACCATATAGATGAGAAGGTTACCAGAACCCAACTGCCCATGTTTATTTATCAACCAAACACAACAGTTGGCTCATCCAAACCTACTATATTCCTCAAACCAAACAGAAAATGGGTTCATCCCACCTATCCAAACCAAACACTAAAATTGAACCATCCCATTCACAAAATCCGGACGGTCCCAACCCACCCATATCTACACCTTCAACCAAATACATCCTAATACATCATTGCAGCAGCCGGGTTCGCAGCATAGTTTAAAAAACCGACCGGCAAAAAAACCGATGAGGCTATCGGTTCAGAGTTTTACTAGTCGGACCACATGTGTTCATTTGCGACAAAAAAACAGAATATTTAAGGTAATTTCTCAAATTTTTGACATCGTATTAAATGAATACACTTAATATTAAATGCAAACTATTAATAAATCACAGTGTTATTGATCTATTCCTGCGATCCTAAATATTTTTCTTTATAGAGATTTCAACAAGTGACTACATACAGAGTAAAATGAGTGAATTTACACTCTAAAGTATGACTATATGTATATATATGTGTGTGTGTGTATGTGTGTGTGGTAGTTCATTTAAAATCTCTTAAAAACAAATATTTAGAAACGGAGGGTGTAGTTGGTTATTGGTGCTTTAGCATGCCTTGCCTCAAGATTAGGTATTCCATACCTTATTGATGCAATTCTTTTTTAATATATATTTTGTCTTTTTACTGAGAGACCGGTACATCTTTAAAAGCCAAGTAAGCCGCTAGTTCATGATGTTTTTCGATCGGACTACCGGTTCGGTTTTAAAACTATGGTATGCGGATCAAGGGCGTGTTCCTTGAGCAGGTTCAATCGACACATGTGGTTTGTCATCCCCTCGCATAGTTTGTCAACTTATTTTTTTCGGCAAACAAAGGCAACCCATACTTCTATATAAAGGATGTTGGAGCACTTGTCTTTTGGTAGCCTTCTCACTCGGGAGTGCCCTTCGCGCTATCCTTTTGGCATTGGCCTCCCGCGGCCAGTTTCATGGGGCTCTCTCAGCCGTTTGATCGGCGCGGATGCACCGCATCCGGATAGTTTCCCCCAGGAGTCCATGACAGGAGCACAGTCGTGGCAGGGACCATCGTCATGGGGTGTTTTCAGCCGCATGCGTCGTCCCGACCGCTGTCCCGCGCGCGATGGGCGAGCCGGATTCGCCTTTTGGCATCTTCGGACCTCGCCTGACTGATTTGGTCGCATTGCACTCGCTTTGATAAAGGCAATGGTGTCCTGATATTTCAATGAAGGATAACTATTGTTCTGGAGGAGTAGACTTTGATGATCCCGCTACGAATGTGAGAGGACGTCACGCCTTAACAATCGCTAAACCAACTCCCAGAGGTTGTTGACCACGCTTGTCGGTGCTAAAACCGGCGGATCTCGGGTAGGGGGTCCCGAGCTGGTAGTCTAGGAACGATGGTAATAGGGGGAAACAGGAGACGATGTTTAACTAGGTTTGGGCCCTCTCGAAGAGGTAAAACCCTACATCCTGCTTGATTATACTGATGTTATGGAGTATCAAGTACAAGATGATCTACCTCGAGATAGTATGGTTATGTTCTAAACCCTAAGGTTGGTAATCGCGCCTATAAAGACTAAACCCCACGACTTATATATGTACCAGCAGGGGTACCTAGGTTACACATATGGTCGGTTGCCAATCATGACGGCTAGCAAACTATCCTTGCAGTACATGCAAAGTCTTTGGAGGTTTCCATCTTGATCATGCCGAGGTTCATAGCTTCCTGGAGTCCTTCCTTGTGGAGATTGGTGGGCCGTAAGCTCGGCCCGTGGACTACATGTCGTATAGGTTAGTACCCTTAGTATACGACACCGTTAGTAGCCCTGAACTTGTCTTCGAAGCCGAGGATGAGGCTTCATCATCGGACCAATGTTTTCGGCTTTAAAGTCTTCGTCTTGGCACACGAGTTCTTTCTTTATTAGTTTGTGCTTGAATCTGAAGAGTAAAATTATTGGGTGTCCTTTTACAGTTTGACCCTTTCGACCATATGCTTGAAGGGTCATACTTCGGCATCCGAAGTCTTGAGATCTCTTAGCCTCAAAGGCTTGCCACACAGGTGTGAGCAGGGGGTTTTATCTGACAACTTTTATCAAACCGTCACCGCCCATAATGCTAATTGAGCCAGTTATTGCGAATCGAATTGCGGCCCGATGCATCTTTCTCATTGGCACATCCTATCAATGCACATATCGTGTTCCATTTTTCAAGGGTTGTCAACAACGAATTGTTTTCATCGATGCACGCCTAACAACACAAAGGGTTGAAAGGTGGCGGCGATTCATGCGGCGCAGTAAGGGGACTCTTGGTTTTTCACTGGCCTATAAAAGCAAAGGGTGGTAATTTACTTTCCCCCACGCTTCCATCTCCCACGCCATTGCCTATAGCCTCTAGAGCTCTAGAGCTCGGAATAAGAAGGAGGGGGGCTCTCTCTCCCTCTCTCCCGGTGGCGCCGGAACGCCGCCGGTGCCATCATCGTGGCGGCGACCTACACCAACAACTTCTTCGTCGTCATCACCAACTCTCTCCCCCTCTTTGCACGGTGTAACCTCTCTTTTACCCGCTATAATCTCTACTTAAACATGGTGCTCAACGCTATATATGATTTCCCAATGTTGTATGGCTATCCTATGATGTTTGAGTAGATCTGTTTTGTCCTATGGGTTGATTGATGATCATGATTGGTTTGAGTTGTATGTTTTATTATTGCTGTTGTCCTATGGTGCTCTACGTGTCGCACAAGCGTGAGGGATCCCCGCTGTAGGGTTTGCAATATGTTCAAGATTCGCTTATGGTGGGTTGCTAGAGTGACAGAAGCTTAAACCTGAGTAAGTAGGTTGTTTGCGTATGGGGGTAAAGAGGACTTGGTACTTTAAGGCTATGGTTGGGTTTTACCTTAATGATCTTTAGTAGTTGCAGATGCTTGCTAGAGTTCCAATCATAAGTGCATATGATCCAAGTAGAGAAAGTATGTTAGCTTATGCATCTTCCTCATATAAAATTGCAATAATAATTACCGGTCTAGTTATCGATTGCCTAGGGACAAATAACTTTTGTGTGACAAAAAGCTCTCTACTAAAACTAACTTAGTTGTTTCTTTATCTAAACATCCCCTATCTTTTATTTACGTGTTCTTTATTATCTTGCAAACCTATCCCTTTACACCTACAAAGTACTTCTAGTTTCATACTTCTTATAGGTAAAGCGAACGTTAAGTGTGCGTAGAGTTGTATCGGTGGTCGATAGAACTTGAGGGAATACTTGTTCTACCTTCAGCTCCTCGTTGGGTTCGACACTCTTACTTATCGAAAAAGGCTACAATTGATCCCCTATACTTGTGGGTTATCAAGACCTTTTTCTAGCGCCGTTGCCGGGGAGCAATAGCGTGGGGTGAATATTCTCATGTGTGCTTGGTTGCTTTATCACTAAGTAGATTTTATTTGTTGTTCTAGGTTGTTCTCTATCTTTAGTTATGGATATGGAACATGAAATAGCAAAAAAATAGGTGTACTTGCTACTCATGGAGGTGGGGAACCTCCTAAAACCCCCGATGCTCACTATGTGGAAAATATTAAACATTACTTTGATAATCCTGAGAAAACCCCGTTCAACTTGATAATGGGAGACACGTTGGACCAACATGAATACTTTAGGGACTATTGCTTGGCTCTAAAAGGGAAACTATTATGGGATCAAATTCATATGTTGCATTGGTATGCTTGGAATTTATGCCGGAGATATGATTATACTTGCTGCTCTAGGATGAAGGCTCCATGCCTTCCATTTTAATGTAAATTTAATGATAATGAAACCTTGGCTTCTTATGCTAATGGTATATATGATTACTATGATGTGGAACAAATAGAATAATTCATTGCTTTTAAGGGTGCTTATGAAATTAAATCTTTGTTTGAAAAGTGTGAAAATCTTGATGATGTTGTTTACAGAACTGAAAATTTTGCTATACTTAAATATTGCTATGAGAATTATGAATATAATGCTGATATTAATGATTTTATTGAGAACGTCTTCGCTATCCAAGAAAAGACTAATATTTTGCAGGAATCTATGGAAGAAGAAATTGATGACACTGTGAGCTCATTAGATGAAAAAGATGAGGAGGAGAGCGAAGAACAAAAGGAGGAAGAGCGGATTGATCACCCGTGCCCACCTTCTAATGAGAGTAACTCTTTATCCCATACATTGTTTAATTTCCCTTCATGCTTACCGAAGGATGAATGCTATGATGATTGCTATGATCCCCTGAATTCGTTTGAAATATCCCTTTTTGATGAAATTGATGCTTGCTATGCTTGTGGCCATGATGCCAATATGAATGATGCCTATGGATATGAACTTGCTATAGTTCCTTATGTTAAGAATGAAATTGTTGCTATTGCACCCACACATGATAGTCCTATTATCTTTTTGAATTCTCCCAACTACACTATATCGAAGAAGTTTACGCTTATTAAGGA